CCACTGCCTGCACTTGACCAGGCTCTATGGAAAGACCATGAGCAACGAAATAGACAGTGTGTCCAGGTGGTTACAGTGGTCAGTAGTGGAGGAGAGATTTCAGCAGGCCAGGCACAGAGATCAAAGCCAAGCTGGAGAAGAGGCGGCAGCCCTCAGTCCCTGGCAGGGTGCACAGATTCACAAATGGCATTAGAGGATGCCCCATTAAGTTTGAAGGCTAAAGATGGGTTTCACAGTTTTGGTTTTACAAGATAAAAGGATGGTAATGATAATTGCCTAACATGATAAATGTATTCAGTGCTATTGAATGGTATATATATATATATATATAATATATATATATATATATATATATATATATATATATATATATTTATAATTAAAAGAATAAAATTTATGCAATGGAAAAATTGTAGTTCAAGTAGATGATGAGTAATTTTTAGTACAACACATTCTGTGAAATGCCTGGTCTGGGGTAGGGGAAAAGCCCTTCCTTCCCTCCCATTTATGGACTTGCCTGCAGATTTTGAAAGAGAGGCTTACTGACCAGCCAATACCCTACTGCATTTTTTTCATGACACTTTTAGGCCATGGATTTTCTTTTTGCAAAAGTGACCACTCTATGGGTGTGACTATTACAAGAATAAATGCTTTATCCAGGCTCCCATTCTCCTCAGGGTAAATATCACAGGGGCAGCATGAATTATAAGAATGGAGAAAAAGAGTGATACCATTTTTTTTGTGTGTATGTGTGTGTTGTATCAGGAAGTAGATTCAAGGGCTTCTGAAAGACTATGTCCACACCCCCGAGTTAGACCTTTACCTTGACCCCAGGGATTTGGGCTCATCTCTGCTCAGAACTGCCATTGTGCAGAGGATCTGGGCTGACCTACCTGAGTTGGATGGAGTAAGAAGTCTTTGTTGAAATATCAGATGATCAGAGATGGTTGGCTCCTTTAAAAATAGAGTAAGAATTGGTCCCCAGAGAACACGGTCACCTGAGTCATCCATCAGCCCTGGCGTTTCTCTGTTGCAGTATCATGTTGGAGGGGGAGGTATGACACAGTGAGGTACTGTGGCTTCCCCATATCTGAACTGATGTTGTCTGTTCCCAATGTGTTTGTCATTCAGGAAAAGGCTGGAAAGCTGTTGTTCCAGATAGCGTGAGTTGAGTGGGTGTGAGCTAGTTTGCTGTGAGTTCATCCTGAGCAATGCGGGTTATAAACCATATTGCTGGATTTGCAGTCTAGTCAAGCAGACAAATCAGATTTGACACTTTAAAAATTCTAAGCTTTATTTCACACCAGCTGGAGCCAAAATATTTATTAGGATGATTTATCCACATTAGTCTTTTTATTAGGGGCCTTTATGTCTGCCCTGCAGCTGTCCCTGGGTCCCAGTATGCTATGACCAGTCCATGCCACATTATTCACTGGTTTTCTGCCCTCAACTCTCTACAATTGTCCCCCACCCAAGAGCACATTTTACTTTACATACTTTGCACATGTGCTTTATGGTCTCTGGCAGATGGCTGATGGAGTTTTTGGTCATTGGTATCAAGGATGTTCCGGGATAGTTAATCTAGCGAGGGTGAGGATGCTGCTGCCCTTTGTTGTGGAGGAAGCCTGGCCACATCTTATTTTGTCTGGCTGCTGTACCCAGGGAATGCCTAACTGGATTTAAGTATCTTCTTCACCCAGGAGGTCTGGTGGCCCAAATCCAGTTGAGCTTAACACCTTGTGAATTTTAGGTCCTGTGCAGCTGGTCTCTTTCCCTCCTCAGCCCCCTGGGTGAGAAATGGAAGACCAGATGGGCCTCCTGAGGAGAAGCATTATAAGCCCACCCTCCTGCCTCTTTGGAAATCAGCCTGGCTGTTTATGGAGAGATGTGGTTGTCATGGTGATAGGCAGCCCAATAGGGAAGAAGTTATAAAAGACACTGACATGGAGGAGGGGTGGTGCCTAGGGAAGACCCTGCATTATTTGTGGATGCTCCATACTGTGGTCCCACACCAAGCAGTTCCAGAGGTAGGACATGGAGTATTGACAACCAGCTTGAGTACCCTGGCCATGCCACGAACTCTAGCCTGAACTTGCCCCAAGGCCTAATGGCTGGTTTGTCCCCAGCCTAGGGAGATGTATTCTCTCATGTGGTCCCATTTCCTATATCTAGTATAAAGACCCTTCCTCTATCTGAAGTTTAGATACCCCAGCTATCACATGTGTGGGAGATGTGATAAACCAGCTGTTTGTCAGTTGGTAGTTGCTTTCCCAGGGATTTCTTTTGGATGCACAGAGCTGATCAGTAACAGGAGGTCAGGGCAGGCCTTCAGAAAAGGATGCCCACTAGGGAACTTGCTTGCCTGGAATACTCTGATTCACCTATAAACAGTAAAATGTACTCACCAGAACCTTGGGAGTGTTCCCAGCCAGGCTTTCTTTTAGGAAGATGTGACCAGCATTTGAGGTGACATCCCAGTGACTCCTTTGGGCACTTTCAGTCATGAGTTATGATGGCCAACTGGGAGTGTGTTGAGGAAACTTGCCTTCATTCAACAACTTATGGAGAGCTCCCCCAGGTCAGCATCAACCCTGTAGAAAAGGGTGCTGTCCACAAATCTGGCTTGGCCAGCATGGGGTTGGGTGATGTGGAGTCCAGAACAATTATAACCTGCTATTGGGAAAAGGGTATGTTCTGTTCCTAAAATTGAGGGCAAAAAGAACTTCCAGCAGCCTCAGACTAGCTGGATGCTGGCCTTGGGACACACTGGGATACTAGGACAAGGTCAGGGCTCACCTGTGTAGTCTGGCCAGGCCTGAGAACTCACAGGGATCAGGATGGTTCTTTGGGCTTTGATGTGATTTGAATGTCATTTGAGTATGTTTGGACATTTAATCCCCACCATGAAGCATTAAGAAGGTAGAAACAGTTAATCCAACTACATCATTTAAAAGTGGGCCTTTGGGACATGGTTAGGGTTAGATAATATAAGGTCATCAAGGTGGGGCCCTATGACTAGATCCTGGTGACTTTATGAAAATAGAGATCAGAAGAAACCCATTGCCTTTCCCCCTGTCTCTTGATTTGCGAAGACCTCATCACCTCAAGACTCTGATAGAAACTGTCAATGGATGCATGTTCTTGGCTTCTGGATCTTTGATCCCAAATGAACCTTCTTTTTAAAACATACCCAAGTCTATAGTGTTGTGCTGAGTGAACTGATGCAGACTTCTAGAAGGGTCAGGGAAAAGGAGGGACCAGCTTGACCCTGAACTTGCCTGGTTCCCAGTTGTATCCCTGTACTCCATTAGCTCCAGGAAGAAGGGTCCTGTACACATTTGCTAGGAAGTGGCATGACCCCTTTATTTCTCCCCATCATTAAAGACCAGCCTCAGGTCCCCCTTTCACCCCCTCCCCACTTCTGGAGTTCAGTAGTGCCTGTGGTCAGGGGTGAACACAGCCAGGAGTCATTCTGATTGCTTGGGGCTTATGCCTGTTCTCATCAATGAAGAGGGTGGCTCTACATTGTAAACCCACCAGAGGGTTGGATTTCTATCAAGGAACAATGAGAGTCTAGGACCAGGATGGGCAGCTATACCCTGACACATTCCTTGAGCACTGGGAGAGCCTGGCACTTGCCAGAAACACTTGCAGCCTCAGTTTCCTCACCTTTGAAACAAGTGAAAATATCCACCATGCAGGGAGAGGTCCTGTGAACTGCTGTGTAAATGCGACTTCCTGTTACGGTGTCATTGAGCCCATCATCCTTCCATTACTGCTTGCAATGACTTGTAGGAAGTCCTAGGACTTGCCATGACAAGCTACTCAACAGAACTGCTTGGATTTGGGCAATGATTTTGGTGCTGTAGACCTTGCTTATGTCTTCTGGATGGTGTAAGGAACTAAAAAGAGAAAATAAGACTGTCATATTGCTTGAAGTGAAGAAAGGTACAATTTAATAACATCTTTTTAGAGGAGGTTTGTGGTTCATAGGGCATTTTATTTTTGTAGTAGTAAATGGGGTCATTTTAATTTATTCTCATTCAAGGATATATATATATATATATATATATATATATATATATTATATACACTTTTAATTCT